TCTAATGGGTCCTTAGCGTCACAGCGCGGAGCAAAGTCCTTTGGATTACTACGTCCTCCTCGGCAGCCATGAGCTATCCGGCAATGCCAGGCTAAGGCCAAGTCTGCCTGGCATAGTCTCGCAGCTTGCTCACCTCGTGACACCGCATCATTCCGGTGCGCTGGGCGACACGTCCCATGGCCGTTGGCAAGCGAGTCCTCATCTTCCCCCTCTATCCCAATTCGGCTACCTGGCGAGCAGTTTGACCTTGTCAGAGCGGTCTGACGCACAGGCTGCAGTAATAGACTACGTCGCCCAAACCAGAGCGCGCGGCTTCCCGATTGACGGTATGCATCTCAGCTCGGGTTACTGCCAAGATGCCGTCTCTGGTGATCGGAATTACTTCACGTGGGATCGCAGCAAGTATCCGGATCCAGAGGCCATGGGCAAGGAGCTGGAGCAAGGGCAGTCCTGCCAATTGATCATCAACGTCAAGCCTTGGTTACTTGAGTCGCACCCTTGGTATGACGAGGCTGCCAGAGAGGGTGCTTTCGTTCGCGCCGCTCCGGACGCTAGACCTCTAGAAGGCGGCTCTGCGCCGACAGATGCAGATCGATGTGGGCCGCATCACACCCATCCAGCCAGGACGCTGCATTGGAGTGTGAACATGGGTGACACGGGCAAAGGGTCGTACTTTGACTTTTCCAGCGTGCAAGGCTGTCAGAGCTGGCAGCGAATGATGCAGCGCGGTGTGCTCGACAATAATATCACTGGTCTCTGGATCGACAACAATGAATTCTCGACCCTAGTTGATGATGATGAAGAGCTTGCCGGACAGGTCGCCGCATGGTCCTCGCCCTTCGAAGGCGCTTGCGATGTACCCATTGCAACCGGTCTGCACTCAGAAGCAGATGCCATGCTCAAGGTGGAGGTGCAGCACAGAATGGGAGGGAGCACGGGAGATCCCCTCACGGTGGGAACGTTTGGCCGTGGTGTGCTAACGATGGGCATGGCGCGCGCAACGGCAGAGCATCTTCTTGTGGGTGGAGAGCCTTGTCCAGAAGCGCCAGTGCTCCGCTGCTGATGCTTGCCTTCTTGTGGTCCAAAACAGCGCGCGAGGCCGCACGCGCGACCGGTGGTAGTGACGCGAAGCTTCGTGCCAGGCATGCAAACCTTCGCGCACGGAAGTTGGTCTGGCGACAATTCCACTACCTGGAAATCGCTCAAATGGAGCACGAAGATGACTTTAAGCACCGGCATCAGCTTTGGCCCTGGCCTCTATGGGCACGATATTGGCGGTGGGTCGCCCACATCTTGATGAAGATGCAACAGCTTTACTCATGCACCGACCTCACATTGGCGATATTGACCACGTTGATCAATCGCAGGATTTGCTGGTGCCCACAGCCCGAGCCCGGAACTTTTGGTCCGGTGGTGCCAGCAGGCATTATGGCATACGCGCTTCACTGTGCATTCATGGAAAAAGGTCCGTTGCTTCTCGCACCCGGACCAGTCCCAGCGCGGTGCCTGAACTTCTTTTGCCCATCAATGCAGATCTCCACGACGCTTTGGATGTATGATCACGTCCCAGACGTCGGTCGCATCTTACGTGAGGTAGTCAAATTCCGGTATCAGCTCATTCCGACACTATACTCTCTATATGTCACGTAAGTGTGTTGCGGTAATTCATCAATCGTGATGTCTTTGCGCCGGCATGCTCAATTTAAGTCTTGATGAAACATCTCTGTAGCGATTACCACCGACGTGGTTGGCCAGTCCTGAAGGTAGGTTGCATCTTTTGCGCTTGCCATGATCC